CAAATAAATAAAAACAATGTAAGTCCAGAGTTTATTATTAAAAACATTACAAGAGATTTAAAAGATAAAACAGATATAGAGTGTCAATTTTACGAAACAGCAGAGGATGTACCAGAACCTGAAAGTCTTAACTCTATTAAAAATAATTTAATGATATTTGATGATTTACAATTAACAAAACAAAACAAGTGTGAAAAGTACTATATAAGAGGAAGACATAGCAATGTAGATTGTTTCTACTTGGCACAAAATTATTTTGAGTTGCCTAGGAGAACGATAAGAGAAAATCCAAATTTTATATGCTTGTTTAAACAAGATTCTAAAAATGTAAATCATATTTATAATGACCATGTTTCAAATGATATGAAATTAGATGAGTTTAAAAAGTTTTGTAATGAAGCTTGGTCAAAAAAGCATGGATTTGTTGTTATAGATTTATCTTCTGATTTATTAAATGGAAAGTATAGAAGTGGATTAGATTTATTTTATTATTCAACTTCGTTGTGGAATCGATAAATATATATTTTTTTAAAAATATATATTTTTTATGAAGACCTAGTTCCTAAAGAAGAAGACCTAATAATGGTATATTCTTAAATGGAGAATTTTCTCCTAATAACAATCCTCTACCTACTGATGAATATTCATTTCCATTTTTAGAATAATATCCATCTAAATAATTATAACTACCATTCCATGGGTTTAAAAATACTCCTTTTCCTACTTTTCTAATTTTAAATCCATAACCATTCTTTTTTCCATAAATAATACCATTTCCAGCAATTTTATTAACTATAGTACTTCCAGCAGCTGCAGCTGTTCCAGTCAATAATCCTGTTGCTATAGCCGGAACAACTTTTGATGCAATTACACTTCCAATTAATCCTAGTAGAGGTAGAAATCCACCATTTTTTTTAGCATTATGTTTAAGTTGTGCTCTACTCAGTGAAAGTGTTATACCCTTATTTTTTAAATAGGCTGCTTTCATTCTGTTTCTTTGTGACTCTGTTAAAGCTATTTTGTGTTCACCATTTAAATCTTCATATGATAGTTTTATACTAGCATTAGTATCAGATTCAATTGCTTTTTTAATTTTTTCTTTCTGACTATCTGAAAGATTGATAAGAGTATCATAGTATTTTGTCATTTTTATATATAAAATAATTTTTTTAATTCATTTTAAGTTATTGCTTTCTGTAATGCTTTATAGTCATCATCATCTATTTGACCCTGTCGTAACAACTCATCTTAAATAGCATCAATCTAATTTCTTGTTTTAGTATTTCCTGCTTGTAAACCAGCTAAGCGTAATTTAAGCATCTCAAATAGTGCATTTGGATCACTAGGAAGAATGACAACTCCTTTTCCAGACTTTCCAATCATCTCTTCCCAAATAGGTTTTATTACATTAGTGTACTTATAACTTCTAGATGATTTTGGTTTAGCTAAATTTAAATTAGAACGAATTGCATCTGTTTGATCTAAAATTTCTTTATACTTATTACGATCATCGTTAGTATATCTAACAGGATGAGATTTTACTATGATCTCCCAAAGACCAGGTGTGCCAATGTATTTTTTACCTTCAATAGTTATATCATCACCTTCAATAGTTATTGGTTTTTTACCAATGTAAAATTTTTTATCACCTTCATTGTAATGTGTACCAAATATGTCATCTGATACTTTTTTACTATTTTTAGTAGTATACAACTTTAAATATTCTGTTGCGATAGGTCCTAACGACATTTTATCTACAACTTCAGGTGGCATGATTGCTTTAGTTTCAGAATCTAGTAAAGCAGGATAGCTTGAAAAAGTACTAGCTATTTGATTAGCTTTATTTTCTAATTTAGATATACCTTCTTTTATTCCAGATTGGCTATCTATTATTGGTTTGTACAATTTTTCCAAGTTAGTCTGTAAAGCATCATAACCTAACTTTTCATTAATAGAATCTTGATATACACTTTTCTTTAGCCCCTCAAGTTCTTTTGCTATTTTTAATCTTGTATCAATATCTGTAGCTTTTGCATACATTTTTATATATGCAATAATTTTTTTTAAATCACTCTATTATCCTCAGATCCCTAAAAAGATCTAAATCAACATAATATATGTTCAAGTAATACATAATATATGTTCAAGTAATACATAATATATGTTTTTAATTCTTAAGAGTATTATTCATCACTCCTATATTCTGATTTTTGTTAAATCTCATATTTAGCACTTCAATGACATCACTTTTGCCTTTTTCTATTCCTTTATTAAATATTGACTCTTTAGTCTGCTCATCTATATCTTTCTTAGATTTTGTTCTAATTTGTTCAGCCATAGCTTGAAACTTTTCTAGTTCTGAAAGTATCATATTAAACTCTGCATCATCAATATATTGATCTGATATAGCTTTAGAAATAAGACTACTTATTGTATTTAGTTTTGCATCAGCTAGTACTTTAATCTTTTCATGCTTTTCTGCTTTTATTGTTAATTTTTTAATAGCTTGTGATCCTATTAATGATAATACACCCATACCTAATGCTGCAATTTCACATCCAATAGCTACTGGTGATCCAACTATTGTTGTTAAAAAACCAATACCAACAGCTCCAAGTGTCATTGTGCTACCTATTAATGTATTATCAATAGCTGAAACTATTCTTAAAGCTTTGTGATATTTCTTACTTAAGATCTCTCTTCTATTTCTTTCACATTATAACTTATTTAGAATTTCATTTATTTTAACTAATCTAAAGTTCTGATCAGATAGTGGTGGTGCAGATGGATTTTCTGAAAACTGGTTAAGATCTGGATAAAGCTGTTTACATTCATTATTACATTGCATTTCTTTTTTCTATAAAGAAAAGTTTGTTTTAAATCACTTTTTACCAAAATCAAATAGAGCTTTGTCAGATTTATCTATACTAGGTTTTTCTTCATCACATATAGTTTCTTTAATTATTTCTCCTATACTAGATAATATAGATTTTACAGATTCTTTATCACTTTGTGATCTAGCTTCTACTTTTTTATAAGGTTCTAAAGCAGCTCTATGTGATATATGATTTGTATTAAAAACACCATTATAAGATGAAATACAGCATAACAAATCTCCTTTTTTAATGTTTATATCTTTTTTATCGTTATTATATAAAGTTATTTTAATATCATCAGTAGACTCTATTACAACAGAATTTAGTAAAATTAGTGTTGGTTTATAATTTTCTGCAAGTGAATTACATGTCCTTTATCTATTTTAACTCCACACATTAAAGAAATACTATTATATGAATTTGATTTTACTGTAAAATTTTCTTGTGCAAATACTTTAATATGTCTATCATTTATTGCTCTATGTTCTAAATCTGAATTAATATTAAAAGTTATTGTATATTTTTCATGCTTTTCATAATCTAAAAACATTCTTCTTTTATACACTTTTATAAATGTAAAGATTTTTTTAGATCACTATAAATATAATACTTTTAAAGTATGATATTTTTTCGTTTTTTTAAAGTTCTAACAATATAATTTAAAATTCTTTCACCTTGATGTAAAAAATAACATGTTTTATCACTGTTATTTTTATATATTGTTTCTATTTCTCCTTTTTTATTTTTATTTAATTTACTCTCTACTAATTTACATGGAGTATAATGACAAATTTCTACATTTTCTTCAATTTCTTTTTTAGAATGAGCATATTTGCAATTTATATTTTTACATTCTTTTTTATCAAGAATATATTTGCATAATTTAGTTTTAGCTTTTCTTAATTTAGATAATTCTGACTTTTTAGGATGAAATAATACACACTCTTTATTCCTACATTTAGGATAATCATAGCAAATATGAATATGCCTATATTGACATGAAAATTTAGTGCGTATTAGTCTTTCCTTTACAGTATTACAATAAGGAATATCATGATTGTATTTACATTTTCTTCCAAAAGGGCAGAAATTATCATTTAAATTATTTTTACAGAAAATGGGTAGTTTCTCCACAAAATGAATTGTTGAAGGTTTTCCATCTTCAGTAAAATTAATATCTACATTAAATGGTTTTTCAAAACTAAATTTTCTTTTTTTGTAATGTTTTTTAAAAGAAGTATTATCTATAGCAGGATAATCATCATTAATAACATTATAAGTTGGAACATAATTAATCCATTTCAGCTTATCTTTATGCAGTTCCATGATTTGAACTGTTTTTAAAGGAATTGGAATTATAGGTTTTTCTTTAACTTCATCTTCATCATCAGATGTAAAATAAGTAGCTTCATCAGATGTATAATAAGTGTCATCTTCAGAATCTGATTCTTCAAATTCAAATTTTAATATTTCTTCAGAAAGTTTAAATTCTTTTTGAAATTCAGATATTTCATTAATCTCATCATCATTCATTTTTATTTTTATTATTTGTAAAAATATTTTAAATCAAAAAAATTAAAAATGATTTAAATAAATTTCTTATGTATATAAAAAGAATGGAAAATAAACTTGAAGAATTATTAAAATTAATAGATGAAAGATTAAGATTGATAGAAGAAAAATTAAATATTATTAATACTCATGATATTGAAATGACTGAAGATTCTGAAGTTACTACAGTTACTACTACTGAAGTTACTGAAATTACAGAAACTACTGAATATTTTGATGAAGATGATATTGAAATGACTGAAGAATATGAAGATGATGAAGATGAAGAAGAAGTTACTACAGTTACTACAGTAACTACTGAAATTACAGAAACTACTGAATATGTTAATGAAGATGATGAAGATGAGGTTGTTGTATTTGATTATGAGACTACACAGAATTAACAATCTTTTATTATTTTATTTTTGTAAAAAATAAAATAAATTGAAAATGAGTTAAATAATTTTCTTGTATATATAAAAAGAATGGAATTAGAAAATAATTTTGAGAATAATAAATTTTTTATAAAACTTTCAACTCAGGTATATTATATTACTTCAATATTAAAAAAGTATGGGTATGAGGGAGGAAATAAAGTTGACTTTGCTGCAAGTATAAGAAGAATTGATTTAATTAAATTATTAATTCAATTAGGTTATAAAGAACATCTTGAAGTAGTGAAATATTTACGTTCTATAGGATATAGAGGAACAGAAGCAGCAATAGATGATGCTGCAATGAATGGTAACCTTGAATTACTAAAATATTCACATGAATTAGAGTATAGAGGAACAGAAGAAGCAATAAAAAATGCTATAATGAATGGTAACCTTGAAGTACTAAAATATTTACATGAATTAGGGTATAGAGGAAATGAATGGACAACTAATTGTGCTGCAGAAAATGGGCATCTTGAAGTAGTGAAATATTTACATTCTGTAGGATATAGAGGAACGGAAGAAGTAATAGATTATGCTTCAGAAAATGGACACCTTGAAGTAGTGAAATATTTACATTCTATAAGATATAGAGGAACAGAAGCAGCAATAGATGATGCTGCAGAAAATGGACGCCTTGAAGTTGTGAAATATTTACATTCTATAAGATATAGAGGAACAGAAGCAGCAATAGATGATGCTGCAAAAAATGGACACCTTGAAGTAGTGAAATATTTACATTCTATAAGATATAGAGGAACAGAAGCAGCAATAGATAATGCTGCAAAAAATAGACACCTTGAAGTAGTGAAATATTTACATTCATTAGGATATAAAGCAACAGAAGAGACAATTAATATTGCTGTAAAATATGAACGCCATGAAGTACTTGAATATTTACATTCATTAGGTTATAAAGTTTCAGAAGATGTAATTAATAATGCTTTAAAATATGGACGTCTTGAAGTACTCAAATATTTACATTCATTAGGTTATATAAGTTTAGAAGATATATTTAATAATGCTGTAAAAAATATACATTTATTAAGTTATGAAGATTCATCAGATACATTTATTAATGGCATAAAGTTTAGTCATCGTCAAGTACTTGAATATTTACATTCAATAGGATATAAAGAAAAATAAGAAGCAAGAAAATCACGTGACCTGTGACGCCATTTTTCTACAAGAAATGAAATTGACTCTGATTTTAAAAAATTCAATTTTTTAAAATTTATATAAATTTGAAAAATTATTTCTTAGTTGTAATAATTATTCACATCATGGTTAGAAATGAACCCTATATTTTTTAAAATATATGGTTGAAAATATGGTTGAAAATGAAAGTGAGGGAGAAATGATAATAAAAATGAGCCAGAATCGGCATTTCCTAACTACTATTATGAAATTACTGTTTATATTACAAGTGTACTATTTTAAATCAAAGTCAAAAAACATCAATGATTTAAAAATGAGGTTGATGCATAACAATAAAGCCATTTTTTTGCATTTAAACACCTAATTACATCTGTATATCTGATTATATTTATATTTATATCTGACGGTGGGTAAACTTCGTTTACATCAGTCATTTTGTTTGCATAAAATATAAAAAAATCAATGGAAAAATGTGGATCTGTAAAAACAGTTTAAAAGTTTTTAATTCCATAAATATAACTTATGCAGCACATTAAATGCGCCTGTTTGCTCTTTTTAAATGTTTCTGACTAAATCAATATTTTGATTAAATTCAAACCAGTTATTTCAATCATTAGAAGAAACAAAACTTTATATTTTGATCATTTTAAAAATGCAAACAGCGTCTCAATGGAATATTTACAACATGTTTAATAGTTCCTGGAACATATGTTTAATAAAGAACTTTATAAATATGGAACATATATTTAACAAAAAACTTTGTAAATTTATTTTTAAAAAATATTAAAAAATTCTTTTATAATGGTAATAAAAAACTTTTAAAACGTCTTTTTAATGGAGTTTCTCAATGAAAAAATACATCAAAAAAAAAAAATTCTCTTTAACTAAAATATCAATATAATGTATACAAAAAATATAATGCATAAAAGTTAAATTTTTAACTTTAATTCACGCAAAATACGAATTAGAAATGACAACCATCGAGTTAGTTTTATTATAACTTTTTTAATCATCACTTTAAACCTTTTGGGAATCTTATGGGAAACCAGTCAAATCCTAAAATTTTTTGGCCCTGATAAAAATTAGATAAAATCCAAACGAGCAAATATGCCTGATTTTATTACCATATGGGAACCGTCTGGAAACCAAAACACTCACCCGTCAAAATCCCGTTTCCGTAAGTCTAGACAAAAACCATATGATACTCGTTTGTCAATGTTGGCTGGGCATGTTTTTGACAAAAGATTCATTTTTCAATTTTTCCTCCAGCTCATATTATTTTTCGGTTGTTGTCATAAAACCTAAAACTAAAATATCCTCAACCACAACATCATATTAGGATTCGCTGTTTGGTTGACTTTTAGACTTTGAAGAACGCTTTTAAATGCGTAAAACAGTATTTATATCAAGTGCATCTATTACTACATAGCTAAAATTAAGCATGTGCTGAATAAGTTCTAATGAAATTTAAATAATTTAGTAATTCAATCATGAACACACAAAACATTGAAACAAAGTTTAATACTTATTCACACTTAAGGAATTTAAGTTTATGTTATTTGTTGCTTTTGACTGAATTTATTTTTTATGTAAAATATAAAAACACAAATGGTCACACATATTATACACCTTATATACACTACATGTTTGAGACATATCAATAGCTTTTTTTCGATGTCTATACAAATTTTTCAAGGTTCCATTACACCACACATCTGAATCAGCATTAGTTCCTACATACAAACCTCGGCAGGAAACGAAAGCTTAAGCCAGAGCTCTCGCCGAGGTTTTTTCCATTAAATATAATAAATTTTTCCCATCACATAAAATTTCGTTACTTCTTTTTTTTTAAATTTCTTAGGCGAGTATCAACATGTTTTTGAATATGTCCAATGCATTCTGCTTATTTTTTATTATATCTCCATAAAGTTTTAGACTAACAATACTAACATATGAACTGCTATTTCCATCACCAAAAATGTTGTATATTTTAAATTGTTTTTTTTTCAGAACGCAAAAATATTTTTATTACACCACTTGATTCCGTAGAAGAAGCTGAACCAGTATGACTGATTTTACATTTTTGATAATGTAAGGAATAAAATTCAATGTATTCTTAAAGATGTGTGTATTTCTTTAAGTTCCTTATTAAACACAACTTACAAGTTTTCTTTTCTATTTCATAGTCAACACATTTGCCATTTTGTACTACAACAGCTGTAATTACTCGATTGTTTGTGGTAAATCCACGTTTTTGCCATGATCCATCAAACCCACATATAATATCTTTAGATTGTAGTTCTTCAGCTGCATGATTCATGCTTTTATCAGCTAAACTTTGATAAACATCTGACAGTATGTGCAATGTATCATTACAACTATTTTTATTCCTAGACGAATGCATATTCAAAATTCCACAAAATTTTTTTAATGCTGACAACCCCGTTTTACGAAATACAACTACTTCACGAGTGTTAATGTCAAAT